GTCACAGTATATATATGCAAAGGACCTGGTGCAGACCTTGCAGACCCTGGGCTCGCTGCCTCAGTCTCTGTGAGTTCATTGTGACCTCTGATCATGTTGATTTAGAGGGCCTGTCTTTCTTGGTGTCCTCCATCTCTTCTTCAGAGGCCCTTACACTTCTACCTTCTCTTCTGAGAGATTTCCTGAGTCCTAAGTGGAGGGACTTGATGGAGACACCCAATTTAGGGCTGAGTGTTCCAAGTTCTCTCACACTCTTCTTGATGTCTGTCTGGGTTTCTGTGTTTGTTCCCATCTGTTGCAGGAGGAAGTTTCTCTGATGGCTGACCAAGGTACTGATCTATAGCAAAATATTATCAGGCTTACATTTTTTTGGACCAGTAGTATTTGGTTTTTCCCTCGGTCCCTGGTTCTTGGTCCATCTCATGGAGTGTGCCTTAAGTCAAATCATGTTAATAGGTTACTTCCACAAGCTTTGCCCTACCAGTATATCTTATCAGCAGGATTCCATTGTTGACCAGGGGATTTCTGGCTGACTTGGTGCTTACATTTCTCTTTAGTATACAACAGAGTATCTTCCTATACCGAAGATGCTAGAACTGAGAGGTAAAACCTGTATTTAGGCACCGCCTTTAGCATGTTCAGAGAGTTGTGTAGGTGTTGTCTTTAGCAGTGTAGCCTTGCTCTCAGTTTATGGAGAGTAACCCATTGCCTGGTTGTTTGGGGATTCCCATGACACCTCTTTGTCCACCAACTCAGTTAGATGTAGTCCAGTGTGAGTACTGGAAAGTTCATTTGTTGACATGAGCCAAACTATTTTAATTTTGTTAAGAACTCATTTTACAAAGTTACTTCTCAATTATTAAAAAAAAAAACAAAAACAATAGTATGAATATTTCAAACACTTGCAGCTGCAGGAATTGGTCGGTTTCATCTATAGATATAAACTATTATAATTTGTAAATTATTACATACCATAATATTAAATGTGTATACTGTATAGTTGTATATAATTCTTAGGCATACTTAAATTATATAAGCTCCGTTAAAATATCCAGATCACTTTGTACACTGGGTTTTAAAATACTTTTTTTTTTTTTTTTTTTTTGGTTTTTGGTTTTTACGAGACAGGGTTTCTCTGTATTGTTTGGGAGGCTATTGGTCCAGTCAGGCCTTGAACTCACAGAGACCCTGCCTCTGCCTCCCAAGTGCTGGGATTAAAGGCATGTGCCACAACCGCCCAGCTTAAAATACTTTTAAAATCAGAATTGTATTCTAAAAATTGTGTATATTTTCAGTAAAATTATTTTTCATGCAAGGAAATTTGTTAATCTAGAAACACAGTTCACGGTTTGTATTACATGAACACTTTCTCTACATTTGTGTGTGTGTGTGTGTGTGTGTGTGTGTGTGTGTGTGTGTGTGTGTGTGTCTTTTTGTCTGTCTTATTTGTGTGAGTGGAAATCAATTTGTACATTCTTGTTCCACTTATTGCTGGTTATCTGACAAATTGGTTTCCAAATTATAGTAGAAACTAAAAATGTTGTATTAAACTCTCTTGCACCCTCTGTTGTTTTGGGGGGGAACATTACACATAGGTTCTAAGATTGTGTTGTCATTACAGTTATTCCTTCCCTTTTAAAATGAGTACTTACTCTACTACATTAAAAAGCAAATTAGAATCAGCAATAAAGCACATTTGTTCGGGGGTTTCATTTTGTGTTTTCTTATCCTATTGATGTGCTTTCAGCATGTCACGGTTTAAATGTGGGTTGAGCTTTCTGTCTGTGATTTCTTCTGGTTACTAGTTCTGAGTCCCTCTGAATAAAAATTCCTACAGGACATAGCGTATTTCATGTACAGTTTTCTAGAATTATAAACTCTGTCTTTTTTTGGTTTGTATACCTTTCAAAAGTCAGGTTTCCTCCAATATAAGAATCTAAAACATCTATATAAAATTAAGAATCTATAGCTGTAAGGAACAGATGTTTTCATAAACATTTGCTGTAAGTTTTCAACTATAATATTGAAAAACTAAAGCAGTTTTTCTCACTTCAAAACTTCATTACCTTTCCCCCATATAACAAACTCTGAAATCTTTTTACTGATACTGTTAATGAAACGATTAAACTCTGTATTTGAGTAGGAAAACCAGCAATTTGTTTCTCTATTGCATACTTTTGCACCTTGAAAGTTACAGTTACTATGTCATTTTTCACTGGTGACAATTACAAACTATAGAAAACCTTTGCAACATCCTTATGATAAAACATGGTTGTAAAAAAAAAAAAAAAGAAAGAAAGCCAGGGGTGTTGTTGTGGGCTTTGAAAGCCAGCAGAGGAAGTAATCTCATCTGCATGCCAGTTCCAGAGCTCAATAGTGAGACACTCAAAAATCATAACAAACAAAAGCCCCACAACTGCTCTTATAAATGAACCTATGTTTAATTTCATAAAGTCAATCTTAAATGAATAAAGATTCTGGAGGTAATATTTCATATATTTAAATAATCATAACATTTAGTTTTAAGGAGGAAGACTGATTCAGTGTATATCATAATACTTATTCTATACCAATTGTCGAAGGCCACACAGGAAGTTCCTGCATACTGTTGAAGAACATGTATTACAGGAAATTTCTGTTTAATAAGCTGAAATACTGTTTCTTTTATCTTTTCAGTTCATGTCGATACTATTATTTTTTAACGGAAATAAAATGTACTATGTATAGTCTTATGCTGTATTCAAGGGATTAGCATGCATATGGCTATAGTAATTTTAAACATTTAAGCTTGGATTATTTAAAAATTATGTGTTACCCTTTTTGAATGCTGAAGTCTATTTTAAGTTTTAAACAGACAACCAAAACAGCCAAAGGATCAGAAACACCTTAGATGGAAACTTTGAAAAAAGAAGTCACATTAAAAGGTCCAGCATGAGAACTGAGTCTGCCTGAACATTTGAAAAGCTGGTCATGCCTGCAGAGTCTTAGGTGGATTTAGTATTCCTATGTGACACAACACAATGCTGTCATACAGATTACATTTCTGTTTTCAGTAGCCATTTAATGAGTGGCATAACTATGGAATCAAAATATCTTAGTATTATATATAAAAATTTAAAAATTAATCTCATTTTTAAACTGAATTCTTCACAATTGCTATTTGATGTTTCTATTGTTATGGTCTCCAGTAAAACCTTAAATATTTCATCATAAATCAAAATTATAAGTCATAATTGAACAAATGATTAAATTATTAAGCTTTTAAATATAAAATAATGTTGAAAGGTACATTGTAGGGACTAGAAGTGCAAAATTTAATTATATACTGCTCATAATTTGCCTTGAGGAAGAAATGATATATTTAATAGTGTACGGCTTCATAAAACTGTGTTTTAAAATACATATTTAATGAATAAGCTATTATTTCTAACTATAAGAATTTTTTACTCTGAGGTATTGCTAAGCTTTTAAAATATTTTAAAATTTTATTTTCTTTTATATTGTATAAGCCCATGCATATTGATTGATTCTAAATTTGAATTCACAAATAGTCTTGTTTTTTAAATGAAAAAAATGTTAATTACAGAAAACATATCTTAGTGTTTTATTGCTGTGAAGAGACACCATGACCATGGCAACTCTTACAGGAGAAAGCATTAACTTGGGGTTGCTTAGGGTTTCAGAGATTCCACCCATTGTCTTCACGACGGGGAACGTCGTGGTGTGCAGGCAGACTTGGTGCTGGAGGAGCTGAGTGTTGTGTGTTGCTTTACTCTTTGGGCTTTTCGAGGTGCCCATCAACCAGCACCCAAATAAATACACAGAGGCTTATTCTTAGTTATGAGTGCCTGGCCTTAGCTTGTTTTGTTTCTTGCCTACTTTTCTTAACCTAAACTATCCCGTCTGTCTTTGTCCTTGGGATTTATCTTTCTCTACTCCTATATACCTTTTTTTCCTTCTTGCTCTGAGTCTGGCTGGGTGACTAGGTGATTGGCCTGTGATGTTCTACTAGCCTTAGTAGCTCATCCCTCCTTTTCCTTGTTTCTCCTGTCTATTCTCTCTGCCTGCCAGCCCTGTCTATCCTTGCTTCTGCCTCCTTATTGGCCATTCAGCTCTATATTAGACCATCAGGTGTTTAGACAGGCAAAGAATCACAACTTCACAGAGTTAAACAAATGTAGCATAAACAAAAGTCACACACCTTCAATAATATTCTACCATAGCTGAGAGTCCTACATCTTGCAGGCAACAGAAAATGGACTGTGACAGTGGGTGGTTTCTTGAGCATAGGAGAAGTCAAAGCACACCCCCACAGTGACAGACTTCCTCCCACAAGGCCACGCCTCCTAATATTGCCACTCCCTTTGTTGCCATTTTCTTTCAAACCTCCACAAAATACTAATGTCTTTTGATGAAATTTCATTCTGTATTTTATATTTCTGAGGTTTTTACAGTTCAAACATAATGTTAACAGCTAACAGCGTATTTTGGAAAAGATGTTGAGATATGTTAGAAGGTTCCTAAAGTGTGTTCTTGATCACCATTTCCCTTGTCTGTGTTTCTTTTACTTGTCTTCTTGGGTGACTGCTGGACTTTTAGCTTTGTTCTCTGCCTATGTCCATTTTGGCTATACTGGTGGTCAGAAAGGGTAATCTAGTCTCTAACAGAAGATTGCCTTTGTTCATAAATATTAGTATGTAATTTAATGGTCTATAAGCTTCCGTGTTTCTGTGATTCATAGAAAATAATTGCTTCATACTTTACTTTCCTTGTTACAGTCACTCTGGCAATGCTCCTATCCAAATTAGGAGTTTGGGTATTGGTTTGTGTCTTGACACATCCACATGAACTTTTACCTAACAGGCTCACCGTACACAAGGGAATAATATATGTCTGTTGTTTAGTATGCCATTACGTAGAGCTGTCACACAGTGCTTATTAAGTAAAATACTCACTTTTGCAGTTTCTCTATGTTATTTCAATATTTTTTTTGTCTTTAGGAGATCCAAGTCAAAATGGAAAAAGGACAAATTCTGCCATAGACTCTGAAGGAACCTTTAATTCATACATGTAAGTGATGATTACGTGCACACACAGTTTTACAAGGTAATGTAGAAGACACAAACTTTTATGGAATTATGGTCTTACAATAGCAAGAACTTGTAACTATGTTTTTATCACATTATAAAGGACAGTATGATATCTGGCAGTCTGCAAGCTTAAGAAATAACAAAAACAGCCTTTCATCCCAGCACTCACGAGACAGAGGCAGGTGAATCTCTCTGAGTTCAAGGCCAGCCTGGTCTATAGAGCATGTTCAGGACGGGCTCCAAAGGTACACAGAGGAACCCTATCTCTAAAAACCAAAGAAAGGAAGAGAGAGAGAGAGAGAGAGAGAGAGGGAGGGAGGGAGGGAGGGAGGGAGGGAGGAAGGAAGGAAGGAAGGAAGGAAGGAAGGAAGGAAGGAAGGAAGGAAGGAAGAATATGTGCAGGTTTTTCTTTTGTCTCATTAATGGTTTCATCCTGACTTAGATCCTGGTTTAAGTGAGTGTTCATGAATTTTGTACTTTATTTCATGAAACCAAAGAAAAAGAAAGATTAAATATTTCCAATAACATTTAAAAATTTGTATAATGAACCAAAATTTTTAAGTTCTGTTTTTTCCTTGTAGCAAACCCCCTGAAAATTCAGTACTAGTATATTTAAACATCATAAGTAGCAATCAGATAAATGAAGAAGTCCTTAATTGAGATACCTTGTCCTGATGATTAATTAGTTAGCTCTAATAGTGTATACCAGCACTTGGGAACATGCACATGAACACTGTACATGTGGTAACTCATTTGTATTCTGAGTTCTCTGAGATGTATCCCATTTCCTTCATTGGAACTGCATTATTTATTTCTTCAGATTACAGGCATGCTGTTAGCTGTTACATTAGGGCTTTGTGTATAAGAGGCACTGGTTGAAATGTGGTGAACGATATGGTTATTATATCTGCTTATGAATTCTTTCTTCAAGTGATATAAAAATTTAAATATTTGACATCCATATTTTATAGTAGTTGACTTTGTATAAATTATCAGCTGGTCAGTTGTCACCAATGGTGCAGAAGACTGTTTTCCCCTGACATTGTAGAGAGCTTGTATTCCTCCTCATTTTTAATTGTATACATATTTCCTTTAAGTGATGCAATTCTCTAAATAAAAGTATAATGTGAAGCTTGAAATGTGATATAGTAAAAACAGATAAAGTCCCTATGTCATGTCATGTCTGTTCAAAATATCCACCAAAGGTGAATATAAAAAGAAAAGTAATTATTTATAACTTGGCATGTAACTGAGGAGTGTAATATATGTGAAATCTATGGCTGTGATACAGCATGGTTGAAGTACAAGTGCAATTAAAACAAATGGAAAATATTACCAAAGAAAATACCTTCTTTTCTATGTACATTTTGTTGATAAATTTTATAACTAAATTCATAATTACAGTAAAGAGATGTTTTAATTTGAAGATAGTATTGCTGTATAGTTTATTCTGTCCTTGACTAGTTCAGACATTAAAATATCTCATTATTGAATAACAATTTTGTTTTGAAAATGAGCTATTATTGCAACTTACTGCACAGTGAATACTTTTGTTAACTAAATATTTTTAATTAATGCCTGCCATTGTTATAATATTAACATATTAATTTGTTGAAATTTAAAAGTGCAAGGTAAAAAGATCAAGTAGTATAGTATGTGAAAGGGGGTTTTTGATAGTTGGCAGGCCAATGCTGCTATTAAATGGTATTACAGTATTTAAGGTGTGAAATTAGGATTTCTTTTTACCCTGTAGGCAATAGCTCTTGTAATATAATTAGCTTACTTTTTAATTTGACATTTAAGTTAAACATAGAATCCTCTGGAACAAGGCGCTAGAGCATATTTTCATATTGATTTTTACTGACTAAAGAAATTCTTGCAGAATCACATTATAGTAGCAAAATGTTCAGTAAAATTTACTTTTGAAAATTTCAACTCTTCTGGTTGGTTTTGTGTGTCAACTTAACACAAGCTAGAGTTATCAGAGGAAGAAATTGAGGAAATGCTTTTATGACATCCATGTATAAGGCATTTTCTCATTTAGTGATCAGTGGAGGAGGACCCAGTCTATGGTGGGTGGGTGGTGCCATCATCCCTGGACTGATTGTGCTGGGTTCCATAAGAAGATGGGTTGAGTGTCCCAGTAAGCAGCTACCCTCCATAGGTCTGCATCAGTTCCTACCTCTGGGATCCTGCCCTGTTTGAGTTCCTGACCTTGTCTTCATTCACTGATGAACAGCAATGCTTAAGTGTAATCCAGATAAACCCTTTCCTCACCAACCGTTTTTTTGTTTGTTTGGTTGGTTGGTTTTTGGTTCATGGTATGTCCTTGCAGCAATAGAAACCCTAACTAAGACAGTAACCTTATGGGTTTTTTGGTTTTTTTGTTTTGTTTTGTTTTTTGTTGTTGTTGTTGTTGTTGTTGTTTTTTTAGATTAGAAACAATCTTGTTTCACATGTCAATCCCAGCTCCCTCTCCCTCCCATCCTCTCCCGCCCTCTCCACCAGGTCCCCCAGTCCTCCACCCAATCTCCACTCTGATCCCCAGGGAGGGTGAGGCCCTCACTGGTGGATCTCCAGTGACTGTCATTTCATCCAGGGCAGGGCCTAGGCCCTCCCCCAAGAGTCCCGGCTAAGAGAGTTTCCCATATTGTGGCATGGGCACTCAAAGTCTATTTGTATGCAGGGGTAAATACTACCAAAGGCCCCATAGATTACCTAGGCCTCCTCACTGACACCCACATTCAGGGGGTCTGGGTCAGTCCCATGCTTTCCACACAGCCATCAGTCTGGAGTCCAAGAGCTCCCCTTTGTTCAGGTCAGCTGTTTCTGTGGGTTAAACCAGCCCATTCCTAACTCCGTTGCCCATCAGTTCTCTCTTTCTGATACTGGATTCTAGTTTAGTTCGACAGTAACCTTATGTTAAGAGCTCATACTAGTCTGAGTTTCTATGGGACATTTTTTTATTCCATTTTTTCAGAAATTCCTTCAAAAATATATTATGAAGAAGCAGGCTTTATATTTGTTTATTTATATAATCAGCTGTGAGCCCCTTCATGTAAGCCTATGTAAATGTTTATCTTTGGAAAGACGAGCATTAATTTGAAACCGGAGGGTAAGCTACACAGAGTTCCCCTACACTGAGAGTCCATTCCCTTAGATACTTGACTGCTTTTTCTTTAGTTCACTACTGAAACACCTGCTGTTAGCCCTACATGCCCATGCTGGTATATGTGCAGACTATGTTGTTTAGCTATATGCTGTTTTAAAAAATGAATTAGCTGTTTAATCAGTAATTTGAAGTATCTTACTTGAAGTGTAATTTGAGAAAACAATACATAAAATTAGAGTTCACGGTAGAGTTATAAATAATTTTAAATCTGCTGGACAGCAGAGCTCTGTTGTGTTAGAACTAGAGACAGACTTGTTACTTGGGTCTGCTCCCTGCCCCTCACTACCCTATGTCTGATTCCACCTTTTCAGCCTGGATAGGCTGAACAGGATCACTTTTTTCCTACAAGATGTTTAAGGGTGCCTGAGTGTTGGGGCAATAACCAACAATGACCTGTCCCACATCTCTGCCATCTGGCTGCTGATTGAACTTAAAGAAGGAATTCCATTTTTTCTCCTCCTACACCCACAGATGAAATTTCTAACAGTAATACAAAAGATCTATATGTCCCAACCATAGGTCAACCAAAACATGTTAATTTCCTTTCTATTCTAAGCCAAAACCTTTTGCTTTCTCTCTTAGCTTCTTGACATAACCAAATTACTAGCTTCAGTACTCTTGAACCATGAAGTCTTTATTAAGGAAAAAGAAGGCCCTTGCATGAAAGTCATCTGGATACCAAAAACAGTTAATCTGATCACATAGGCAGCTACTAAGTGATGAGTGGATGTAGAGTATTTGATGAAGATGCACAGGACAGAGCAATAATTGACATTTGGGTTGAATGGGACAAAATAGTGTGGATTGCACTACTAGTTAGGATGTGGCATAACATTTATGATTTATTAATTTTAGAACTCTTCCATTAACACTTGGGGAATTCCAGTAGACTGGGGTACCTGAAGCCCTTTAGGACGCTGGTAGCTTTTACCTGACGAAATAGTTATGAGAAGGGCTGAAGAAATGGCTTGGTGGTTAAGAGCACCTGCTGTTTTTACAGAGGGCCTGGTTCAACTCCCAGTAGCTCATATCCACCTGTCCCTGCAGGTCACGGGAATCCAGTATCTTCTGTCTTCCAGGCACAGGGACCATGTGATTCATGTATATGCATGCAGGAAAACACTCATACACATAAAAAAAATCTTTCCAAAATAGACATAAGGGAAATCCACTAAAAATAGAATGAAGAAAAAGGACTGAACAAGAAACAAGGCATAACCGTACATATGTGTGGAAGTCACAGCTAAACCCATTTATTTTTATGCTAAGAAAAATAAAATTAAAAATAGAGTGGATAACTATGAAAAAATTGTTATTTAATGCAGAAACAAATAATTTTGTGTTTTCAAAGTGCATACAACATCCAGACAAAAATTACACTTGAATCTTGGGAGTATTTTGGTAATGTTAACATTTTGCTGTGTTTGATGTGTGTCTTTGAAAATGTGTAACTTTTAGCTGGGTGTAGTGGCACATGTCTTTAATTTTTACAATCAGAAGGCAGAGACAGGAGGATCTGAGTTGAAGGGCCAAGCTGGTCTACAAAGGGATCTCCAGGAAAATCAGTTACCTAAAGTGAGATCTTTTCTAAAACAACCAAACAAAATGGTAATTTTTCTTTGTAAGTATGCTTTTTGCACATTTTGTTTCTGAGCATCCTCAATATGTTATGTTCCAAAATTTGAACCTTGTTTGTGTATCAAAAGTGGCCCAAGTTTTCCATTGTGTTGCTCAGCCAGCTAAGCCTGTACCATTATTGTAAAGTTACAAAACTTGTAGAGTCTGATGTTTTTGTGCAGTGCAGTAGA